GAGTGGAGGAAAGGAAAAATTTTTGGTTTTGGAGATATGAAGTGGTTCTAATATTACATTGGCTGATTTCTAACCTATTTGATAATTATATTTGTTGCATGGAAAAAAACCAATTTTAAATATATCTTATGACTTGTAGATTTTACGATATAAGTGATGGAGTCGAGAGTGCTATTGATATTTCCAATAATTAGTTACTAAGAGACTTGGGATTGCACTATATAGAGTCTATATTCAATTTTTGATGTATTTAAATAGCAAAACATGCGCACCGGTGTGATTCAACATCTGTGTAGAGATTAGAACACTATAATTGACAAAAGAAATTATGGAAAATTTTTCTTGTGAAAAATTATGTGTAAGAGTATTATAGAATCAATTATCAATCAATTATATTTTGTGATTCTTTTGTTGAAAGTTGATATGATAAATATACTTATTTTGTATAAGAGTGAGTGTGAGAAAGAATGAATACATCAATTGATATGGATGAGATCTTAACACAATCATGACGGAGATGAAAGTAAAAAAAAAATGATAGTAGATGGACATAGTACGCACTATGACAGCAGCTGATTGTAGCCTTAGTGTTTATAACAGTCAATTATTTACAAGTTCTTCTGGATAAAAACTCTCACACATGTTGACTCAAAAAAGCTCAAATGAGAAAAATTGTGTGCCATATATCTTGAAAATACAATTGTGAAACACCTTTCAAGCTTGAGGACGCCGGCTGTAGAAGTCTATACGAGAGTACAATGAAAACACTAACGACCAATCAATGGTTTATAAAGGGCGTTACCGTCATGCTAAGAATTCTGATCTCTTGGGCCGTACGGTCGACCAGTGTGACAATGGAAATGAATGATGAAGTTGTGGCTTATCGATGGATCATCTCACCCTAAAAGTACATCGAATCTAAATCGACAGGGTCATCTCACCCTGTCGATTAGGATTCGATGTACTTTTAGCTTTCAAATTAAAACGTGGAAATAATATAGAATTTGATAACCGAGCTTGCAACTCTGTGTCTAATTTAAACAAGTAGAATACTAGTATTATAAGCGCAGACTTTATTGTAAATCCAAAGCGGTTTTGCAAACCCATTGAGGTGAAATTTCCAAGTATGACGTGACTGACCCTCCCTCCTGTTGATAATGGCTCTCACGCCTTTTTTAAGATCTTTTTTATGATTTTTCCAGCGATGATAAGTCGTTTTGGTGATTTTTTTGATTCTATTCAATAAGGAAGTCCGAATTTGACATTCCATAGATTGATTGATATTTCAGTTTGGATTTTGCAACCGTCGCTGTTACTTCGGTACATTCGGACGACTGGATGTAAGTCGATTAGAGATTTTTGTCATGGATCAATCAATACATTTTCTGTGAATCTCTCCTTTTCGCCATCAAAGTTCTCATTGCAGTTCCAACTGCCGCTGCCTGCCCTCATTCATCCGTCTGTCCGTTTGACATTGAAAGTAACTAAATGAATGGTAGACAACTCTTGCTTTATCATCATCATCATTGCTTAAAACCCCCGCTCCCTCCTCTCTTGATAAAGCTCTTTTTGAAATCTATGATTTTTGCCTATGGAATTTTACTTTCGTCATTTCGTGATTTTGGCCATCGCATGCAACTGCGTTTATCGAGAGCGAGCAAAGAGTACGGAGTTTGCAGTACTATCATAGAACGTGATCAAAAAAATCTAAACGCTACACTATTTTTGTGAGTGCTCAATGTGAGAAAGCAAATCAACTCGCAATCAGCATTGTACAAATCAACAAGAGACAAAGAACAGAGACACCATTGTACATTGACAAATAATAGATTTCAATCATGGATCACAAAAAATCTTGGGATTTCATAAACAAACTTCGCCCTTCTGTTTGGGCAATGCAATCGAGAGCTATTTCTGAGAATAGATTAATGAAGTCCGAGCCCGGGAGTCTTGAGGGACAACACAAGATATTGTTCACACATAGAACATTGTTTTTTTGACACACAAAACTTATGTGAATAGATACGATTGTGGGTGAATATGTACACATGTATATTACCATCATGGCTTCATCTTGATCAACTTCAACCCTACAATAGTAAAATACCAATTCTTGTCATAATATATGATACATCACATGAAACTATGACATCTTGTCTGAAGTTATTTATCGTAAAGTACACAATATACATGAACTATTGAATATAAAATCTTTGCATTGGAGAGTGAGAAAATAAAGAGACAAAGAGTGGAGAGATGGAAATTGAAACTCAAGTTCAAGCTTCTAAATTCAACCGAAAACAATCTCTATCAATGTAGTAAAGTCAAATATGAGACGCTTTCAAGAAATTAAAAATCAAACAAATCTTTTACTTTGAATGGAAAAGCAATGTAAGGTGAAAGTTTACAAAGGGAGTAGAACAATGAAATTTGTAAAGGTATGGATTATGAGTATAAATATTTATTTATACCATTTTCATGTTTTTTATTATATTGCAAAAATGTTTATGAGATCTTATCTTAGGGATAAGACTATCACATGATACACGACATGAAGACAAATGCTTTCAGAACAAGATGCTTCCATTTCATGGAATGGAATGCAGAAAGCACTTTTGCACAATTTTAAACCTGTAAATTCTTTCCAAACTGCAGGAATGAGGTTGTGAGATTTGAAGCAAAATTGAATTATTCATGAGTACATTGAAAAAAATTATGATCTTCAAGTATCTATCATACATATAAGTGGAACAAAAGTCTTGAATGTATTTTAAGTAGGTTCGAAAGACTTCATTCAGAAGGAGGTGATAGTTTACAATCCATCTAAGCTGTTCGCGTATGTCAATACCTTTTGATTCTTGTGACGTGTTGAGCTTGCTAGCACTAGTGGCAAAAAATTCTTTTGTTGTGAGATCATATCAATTTTACTCACCTACTGTCCGCATGTTGCTTCGTTTGTCCGCCTACTTTTTACAATTTGATTTGTCTGTCAGCTTGATCGCTTAGCTTGGAATTTTTTACCATTCAGTAGGAGTAACTATGCAAGTAGCCATGCTAGCCATTACATAATAAAAAAATCATCAATTCGTAAGAAATTATAGTCACACATCATGTACAAAAATTCTCTCTATCCAACATTTCAAACAGGCTGAGCATATTTGTAGATGAAGAAGTTATCATATAATTTATATCAAAGTAAAGAACTTGCTATGATACCATTTAACGAGATATTCATCTAGAAATTGAGAAATAGCAATAAAACACAAACAGTGTAAACAATGATAATCAAAAGTAAAAAACAAATCACCAACATGAGCACGCAGAATATGTGTGATTCATCTTTTGTAAGTACTACATCAAGGGAAAGTCAAAACACGCTAGTTATATAATAAGCTTGTGTGAGTTACAAAGAAGTTGTGGAGGGATTTATATACTCAAGTTCGACTAACAATAGAAGTTAACTCCAACATTCATCTAATGAATGTTCTTATACTTCAATAGTGAAATTAACCAATTTCAATTCAATTCTTTGAAGTTTTTTATTTCATACGTTTATATTTATAAGAATTTTTTGCTGCAAATGAGTATAATTTGAATTTTTATGGTTGATTCAGTATTATATATGGTTGTCTAAAATTTGAAAATATAGAAAAATAAAAAATTATGATATATATATATATAACACAATATTATTAATGTGAAACGGTCTTAGTGTAACAAGAAAATCACCTACCTTTGATTACCAGCAAAAACATAATTACCAATCAGCGCTTTATGTAAATCAAATGATCAAAGCTGTCTAAAGAATCATACACATTCAAGTAATTGAGAAGACATGAAAGTTTGTCGAACAATAAACTCTTATTGTAATCAATCATCGTTCTCAGTCAATATGCTCAACGTTATTTTACTCCATATCACTCCGTTAGAACATCTCTCCTAAAATGAGTGTGTACCGTGAAAAACATAGAGAGGAAGTGCATGGACAGTAAAACCTGGTAATGTTAAGTTTGACGAGAAACAAATAGTATATCTTGGAAGTATGCGAATACATTTAGTAAAAATTGCAGGAGGGAGATCGGTTTGAACCGCGAAGCAAGAGCAATTCACCGAATCCAAACCTCTTACTTCGTGCTCGATGCCCAGCGTCAGCACCACGAAATCCTCTAGAGCTCGACTCGAACCTCGGACGGGAATTTTCCCACTGCACTCTCGCACTCGAATGACATAAAACCAGGACAAGTACGTGGCAGCCCTCTTAGACTCGAGGAAATGCGCCACGAGAGTCATACGAACCTCCAGCAGAAACTGTCTACCCGCCTTTCCCGGAATGATGACAGCTCCTCCCTCATCCAGTTCGGTGCAACGTAGGACAGTACTGTACTTCTTCACGGTTTGGTTATGCTGACGTGTCAGTTCACAGGTGTCCTTGCGTCTCCCCGTGCGATTCCCTCCGTCACCTGGGCTCCGGCATCGACCCCATCCTCGCCGGAAAGGGAGACCCACAGCTCACCTCCCGACCCCGAGGGTGGCCCGGGGATCGCAGGCAGCTGAAATCGACGTCCAGCATCTCAGGCGGTCTCAGAATATTCCACTGGCCACGTAGCGAAGAGGTGAGGGCTGACAGGATCGAGCTCTGCTGGCAAAAGGCGAGTTTGGACCTAGTAGCCTCGAGGCCGAACGTGGTTCCGAGTGGGCTCGAGGTGTACTGACCTCGGGTACGGTATCGCAGACGTGGGTCACTCGAGGTGCGGGGCACTCGGTCAGCCGTCGTCAACCGCGAAAGGACTGTCACGCTGGCCAGGTGCTCTACACCTTCTCCGATCGAACACATCGGGCTTTCTCGAGAGACCGACGTGGTCTTCCGACGAGGCAACCACATCCGTGGAATCGACCGCGTCGCGCTGCGTCGGCAGGAGTTGTCGCAGCTTGACGGTCGTTCTTCTCGTAGGTTTGAAATCCAGGGCGCCCGTGCCGCCGTGCAGGGCAAGGCAGGGCTTCGATCCGTCGCGAGGGGTGAGGGGCGAGGGGCGGTCCGACGGTCAATCATCGATCGATGCTGGCTGGCCGCGCTGACAGTTCTCCGAGCCGCCCGAGGTCGCGGATTGCTCGACGTCGTCGCTGCAACGTGTTAGGTAAGAGAGAGCTCGCTCGCCCCGTGGGCGTCGCGCGCGTCGAGCTTCTTCGAGCGCGATGATTCTTGAGCTTTAATCTGCCGATTTAATGCGTTAATTACAATGGCGGTCTCGGTCATAGCGAGTGGGAGTTTACAATCTGCAGGAATCTGACAGTGCTGGCTCTGTGACGAGGAGTTGGATGCTGATTTTGTGGGGAGAGAATTTGGTTATGCAGCCGGTTTGGGCTCAGGATTTCGATGTACATATTTTTTCGACCTGCATGAATATGATGCCCTCTGAACGGACCGAAGACGAAACTTTAGATTTAGCTTAAGATCGCATTTTTCGTGGAGGGAATTTGATCCTCTTTGTCGATCAGTTTTGCCAGTTTGCAGATTGGTCTCGAGCCCGATCGCATTTGTACGTGGTGCATTTTCTACAACTTATTCAGCTTGGGACTTTTGTCTTCTGGGTGATCAGACTGTTACCTACTGAGAGAAAATTGGTCTGTAGCTCATATTTGGGGTTGAACACGCAAGAGTTAAGAATTTATGTGATTAGTTTTTTTGTTCGTTCTGTTGTGGAGGATAATTAAATCACACATCTACTACCTTTTCTATTTGAAGAAGTACCGTAAATGAGAAGAAATCGCATTATTTTCACCGTGTTTCATCCTTGAGCTGTGAATCTCAGAGTTAGCCCTATGTTGCGGAAGGTACAGGAAGGAACAGGAACGGTTTGCTTTCTTATGATCACTCCCGTTAGTTTGTGGCGGTAATGCATTGACGAACGGACGCATTTTGAAATTGTACGGATGATATGTGCAGATGATTGCTGCATATGATTATATCACCAGAACTGAGAGAAGGAGAGAGAATGCGAAGAGGAGTTACGACAATGCCGGTGAGTCCAGTGGAGGGCATTTCTTCTTAGGACGGGGTTTGAAATTTGAGACATTGACCGAGATTTGTCGTGATTCTTCTTCGTACAATTGCTGGTCCTGCAGCGTGTGAAGGGAATGGACGGGTTTGGTCGTACGCGCTATCGGTCTGCATGACCGCAACTTTCCCGCCAAAAGATCATGCTTGTTCACGCAACTGTGGTTGTCACGTGATATACACGACACCACCAGGTCTCCATTGACCACTCACCAATTAAGTATTGGATTCAGCATTGAAACGAATAGCGATACAAGTATCGATATCGCGCACGGAGGAATTTGAATTATTGGTCGATATGGGAGATCGTGAAAGTGAGACCAAGAAGCTTCTTGCGAAACTCGAGGAGCTAGAAAGAGAGGAGGGGGAGATTGAAGTTCTGGAGCTGGGAAGTCGTAACTCGATCTGCCAAGAAAGGGAAGAAGGGGAGATTCATGGTGATGAAGGTGAAGAAGAGCAAGAGGAAATTCCTGGGCGTGTCACCGGTTCCGCAGGTCTATATGATACGGATGCAGGAACTGGATTTGAGATTGCTGGGAACGGATTTGTTGACGAGAACAGGCCGAATTCCAGAAAGAAAGAGGTAGCGGATGAAGGAGCTCCGTCTGGAGTTGTGCAGGTTCAAGCCTATGAATGTTTCATTGGGGATGAAAATGGTGCAAGTTCGGATATGGAGATTGAGGAAGATATACCTTCGCCGCTTTTGAGAGGAACGCACGTCTCTGCCTACTTTGACAAAGAAAGTACAAATTCTCCTGTTGGAGGGATTGAATCTCAATCACGCAATGGAGACGCAAAGAGTATCCTTTTGATTTTATTTGATGTCAATTGTTTTCATCCATCACCTTATAGACGTCAAACGGATTTCAACGTTGAACAAAACTATGGTTGTTATCTGTGAGACCTGTCCGGGCGATTCCGAAATAGTGACTCGCACCAGGAGATGATGTAAGCGAGAAACTGCTTGCACTGAATTTGGGCCTCTGGACCTCTATGGTCAACTTTCAATAATTGTCGTGTAAACCTGTATCCATGCTCGAATTGCTATTCAACACATAGTGTGTTGGCCTTTCAAAAGTAATTTTGAAAACAAGAATAACATCAGTGAACACCTGAATAATAGCAAGCTTAACACTATGATTTGCTATTTCTCTTCTTTGGTTGCAATTTGGGTCATTTTACTGGGAAAATGGTCCAACCGCTTATTACGTTATAACTGCTCGACGGATATGATATCCGTACTCAGTTAGTGCAACACTCGAAGCACTGTACAAAGCCTGCTCTCGTGTGTATTTGTTTGTCGCCTTCTGGATTTCTTTAACCAGAGCAGACGATGTGGAGTCAACTCTGAAACGAAAAAGGCTTCCTGATCTCGGTTCCAACCCCGTCATTCAAGTCTCATATGAGGGATTGCCCAGGTTCGGTTTCTTAAAACTATCAGAAAATAGAAGGCAGATTAGGTAGTTTTCTTATTCTGCGTTTCCTACCTTGCTGAATTTTTGTCCCCTAATTTATCTTGAAGTTCGAGAGTCCAGATTGGTGAACCAGTTTTTGATTTAGAGTCTATTTTCAAGTTTATCTTTTCTTTGCAGCTGTGTTGGAATTTCAAACTGCTCAAATATGTAAGTTGAAAGTTGACTTAGTCAAAACTAAATATTTAAGTTCAGGCAGTTAGTGAAAATAATTGTTTTGCAGCATAGGTGAACTCGACTTTGCAAAAAGATGCTAGAATATTGGATGTGGAAAATATTCAGCTCACCTACTCCTGATAACCCGTTTACTGCCAGAGAAAGCAAGAAGAAACTCCAAGATGCTCTGCATGAATGGTCTTACTGGCACAGTCGACGTTATTCCTCAAGCAGTGTATGCCTCTGTCATGCCTCTGTATGTGTCTTCTGTTTCTCAATTGGATGCATACTGACAAGTGAAAATCTGTAAATTATGTAATAGCTTGATGCTGTTTTTGTATAACACACAATCATCTTAACAATCTTAACAATTTCTCGTTGATCGATGATCGTTTCTTTTCAGGGAGCATGTACGGAACCTCTGGAAAGTGGAACGGATGTTTATTCTCCTGCCCTCTATGTGGAAACTACCAGCAACGGTAGCGTGGTAAGATTTGAAGACCGTATGCTTGTGAATGAATGCATGTCCCCATAAGCCTCAATCACTTTCCTTCCATGGTATTAAAACTGTGTAGGTGGCAAGATAGTAGCAAGTTCCTCGTGAATTCCAAATCAGTCAAGTGGACGTCGGTGAATGAACACGGTTTAAGTCCTCTATCGTCTTAGATATGTGTATGATTGAAGAAGTTTTATATTCGATGAAATTCATTGTTTGTCTGAACTGTCCGTGTGGTGTTCAGTCTGTCTGGATGGACAGGCCATCTAAGCTAAGTCGCAAGAATGAGACTGAAGATGTGTTCGGATCAGCAGTTCAAGAGAAGGGAGAGGAAATTCCATTGTACGATCGAGCTTGTGTCTCTGCGCTGTCTTCGCAGGATGCTGTTGATCGATCGGATGGGTACGCTAAAGCTTCCGGGTCTATCAAGTTTCTAAGTTATTTTCTGATAATGATTTGGAAATCATGTGTTTTCGTAGTTACAGACATTTGTATCCATTGTTGGCTTTTAGCGAACTTTGCGTTGTCAATCGAGCTTATGAGTATCTGGAAGTGCATCATATCAGGTTTGATAATTTTATGAACCTGTTTTGTAACAATTCTTCTTTGTCCTTCTGGGTTCAAATTTTTACAGGTTTATAATTATCGAACCTGAAGAGAGCTCTAGGTGTTTTAATTGTGGAGCTTACACTCATTCGCTTCTGAATTGCACGAGACCTCGTGACGCGAATGCTATAAAGAAGTCTCGGCAATCGCACTCAGAAAAGAAAGGAGGTTTTATCAGAGGTCGTGCTCCAACTAGATATTATCAATCTTCACCAGGCGGAAAGTTTGATGACATAAAGCCGGGAGCATTGGGGAACGAGACAAGACAATCCCTAGGCATTGGGGTATTCGTCAACTTTATCAAATTTTACGTCTATGCCACTCAATTATCGCCATGAAATTTTTATCTCAGTTGTAATGTCTTCGATTATTTCAATTTGACACTATTGTCTATCATGTCATTAGGAGCACGACCCGCCACCTTGGCTTCATCGAATGCGCGAGTTAGGTTATCCTCCAGGATATTTAGGTGAGCTACGACTTTCCATGCACATTGCTCGTGTTTCACCCTAGAGCTTTAATCTGGACCAACTCTAGTCAGAACATTGATGAATATGGTCGGGATATAGGAAGATCTTGAGTTCACAATAGATCCCGAATGAAGATGATGAGCTAGCCACAACTTTGTCCTTACCATGGTATCTTATAATAGGAATTGCATATTCTTCCTATTCCCTCTTCACATTTGAAATTATTGGTTCTGAGGACATGACTTGCCATCGCGGAGAAGGGGTTTTAAATTGTAAGTGTTTATCGATCATCCCTTTATGCCCTTGTTCGTCTCATTTTTCAAGAAACGTTCAATTGTCCAGACGTAGAGAGTTTCAGTTGATTTTTTGATGTCGCGCAGAAGACCCAGAGGAAGAATCCTCCGAAGTGGAGATTTTTGGTGGAATCGGAGATGAAGCCACTTCGGATGGTGGAAAAGAGCCAACGGAAGATGGTGAGATCGTCGAGAAGAAGAAACCAAGCGAAGACCTTTTAGTCGCAAAGAAAATGACTGTCGAATTTCCGGGCATCAATGCTCCTATACCCGAGAATGCAGACAAGAGAATGTGGACGTCTCCTTCAGAAGCTCATGGCGCACAGACACAGAGAAACATTAAGAGACTCTGTCAATCTCTAGGTACTACGGCTAGTGGAGGAAGTGAAGCAGGAGTCATACCGCATTCTTTCTTGTGGTCAGCCAGCACGAGCGATCCTCCCTCTCGAGATGGAAATACACCAGGAAGCAACTCTAGCCACTCAACTCAATGGTCCAGGCACGGGTCTTCCGCAGCTTATGGATTAGTGAATGCCCCTGTGGACCTCATGGATAGTTGGAAAAGACGGGACGGAGAAACGAGCTCAGGTCCTAGAAGTAGTGCACGTGACACACAACAAACTCTTCCTAGTCCAACCGGCCTGGCCTCCCCCCTTAGGAGCATGTTCCGAGCGCCAGGATTCGGCGATGTGCTCTCAACGCAACCCAGTCCCCACATATATTCTCGGCATAACCAGTATCATCCGCAAGCTCCCATACTATCTTCTTTGCCAATCCCCAACAACCCAAACGAAGCATGGTTGAAAGCTCAGGCAGCACTTGGTGTTCTTCAATCTGATCACAAAACCAGTAGCTCATCTTCCCAGCCACAATGGGGCAGAAGATGAGTTCTGAAAATCACAGACCACCTTCAGACAAACGCATCGTTTGTTTACCAACATAAAAGGAGCATTTATAAGTGGAGAGCTTGGGAATTCATGAACGGCACTGTTTAAAGATTGGGGCCCAATCGGATTAGGTATGAAGATTCGCGTATTCTCAAGAAGCGGTGAGTGTTCATCCGCAATGAAGTTCGTAAATGAAGCTTTTCAGTCGAGATTTTTCCTCGATCACTGACTTCTAGATAAACAAATTTCTCCGACACATTCTCAAGCCTGACAGAACAGCAAAGGATATTGCCCTCCTATCTGGTGAAGTCCTCAGCTGTACCGCTGGACTTGTAAGAATATTTTCGGCGTGAGAAACCGAGACAGTGAAAGTTGTAATATGTCAGTCCAGTTTGAGACACATCATCCATCATGTTCGATGTGATGTTCGTAGCATAGATCAATCACGTCTTACCAGCAGTACTGAGATTAAGTTGCTAAGGAAAAGCCTTTCCAATCCGCTAGCGCTCAAATGAAAGGAAATAAAATATAAATTCATACGCCAAGAACCTGAGTGCAGGGAAATATCTTTTGTCGAAAACATCCCACTGCCAAACAGTTCCTTTGCCCGTTTGTGGTTCGCACCTTGTCGTCGATTTAGAGCATTTACAGCACATTGCACGAATTTTCACGTCTGCGAGTCCGAAGTATACAAATATACCCCATGAAGCCGTATCTGCTTTTTATTACTCATGGATACTGCATGTGATGGGTTCCCTCCGAGGTGCGAAATTCGGCTTCGACGGATGTTATCTCACCCCACAGTGGAAGGGAGTCGTGAGAATGCTCCGTTCTTGTCATAAGAGATGTTCTAAGACGAAAGTCCGTTACTGAATGTCTACGTAGGAGTATCTACGGACCTTCTAACAAACTTCGTTGGTTTTAATTGGTAGAAGAGAGGTTATTCTTATGATAGTAGCAATAAAGTTTTGTATAAAATATCCAACTCTCAACATCGTCCCCATCATATTTACAAGGTTCCCCACTCGCCGTATTTTGAACACCGGCAAATACAGGCAGAGTACAGACATACAGAGGAGAGAGGGTGTAAAATATCACGAGTTTGCACCATTGGTAGTATCGAATGAAAAGATGTCATAACACATGCAAATATGATTACCAGCAACTTCTTTACTTACAAGCCGATACTTGGCCAATGAATTAAACTCCTAAGCGACATGTCAACCAAAAATGTTTCTCAGTAACTGCAACTATATCTACTGCATCCTGTTCTCTGGGTGAATACCTACAGGAGTGTATTTTGTCCAAGTAAGTAGATCGAGCATATTTTATCAGGGACAGGCTTCTCCACAGAGCTTAAAAGTACATCTAGCGATGCTTGATCTTTCACAAGTATCAATAAGTCGTCCCATTATCCACTTGTGACAAAGAATAGTCGTGAGACAGTTGCAACATCAAACACTGAAAGCAGTTTGAAGAGTTGATGCAAATTGAGATGCCACGGTTTGTGTGGCAAACTGTTGAATCTGCTTCTTGGCATCTGCAGCAAAAGCCAAACAATTTCGCCCTACATTAGTACGCTGAAGAGTATAATCCTCCTCACAAAACAATCCCTAACCTCTTACGACCAGATTCCGTAATATCTATTTGTTCCATTTAAGTGGGGAGACCCGGCGTTCCAAAATGAGCCTCATGTGCCAAACCACCCAGCTCACAGGAAGATCACAGGAAGTCAATGTAGTCATTACATACCTTTTCTGCATTTGGTAAAGCCAATGATGTTCGCCGCACTGAGTACAAGCGCAACTCCCACCACCAAAAGATAGTCAAGTTTGACTCTGACTATAGCCACAATTCCAAGGGCAACCCACACAACAGGCTGTGGCCCAAGTAAACAGAGTCAGTAGAAGATAGCGTGAGGGACTGACAAGAAAACAAGCAAGGGGACGCAATACATTGTAAACGCAGGTTAAAACTAAGCGCAAGATTCTTCTAGACACAGCAAATGTTGGCCATATTTTGAGGAATTAGCATGGCAGAGATAATGAACTCACTATGACAGTAACGTTATAAACAGGTATAGAACATTGGCAATGCCTGGAGAAAAGCAAGAGTAATGACAGACTAGTACATGGAACCAATATACATAATATAATATATTAGGTGCATCAAGGCTGCTCTACTGAAAGCGTGTATAATAATATTCATCGATGTCAAATGCCATAACATGTGTTCTTCGGAGGACATACATGTCAGATCTGGGTGAATCACTTTGACAAACATTGTGGAGGTTACTATAACGCAATGACTGAACACGTTCCTTCAAGACGATTATCGCCATCTGATGCTTCAGAGATGCGGCAATCCGCATCAAGCTTTCGTAAGACTGCTCTCATTCAAGTTATTCAATTTAGCCCAATTACATTCCTCGCTACGTCAAGGAACGTGAGATCCCACTTTCAAGATACTGATCAAGTTCTCATAGGACATTCAAACTATGGGAGCCGGATGTCTTCCAAGACGAAGGACTCCAGAATAAGCTATCCGGTAGCTCCAAATTCGATGCCTCCTGCTTATTGCGTTCATTAGGCTTCCTTAAAGTGTTTAGGATTGTCTTCAATAAACTCTGTATAGCTGCTCGCTGAGAAACAGTCAGAAATATGCATTTCCGACAGACCTGCAGTTCTTGGTGAGGCTCATGCTTCTTTGCTTTGATTACAGACGCATGAGCTTCAAAGGTATTCCTCATCGTCTAGCAAGGTGAGGAAGCATCGAGTAGACTGCTGCAATTGTACGGTTCAATATTCATATTAACAGTAAAAAGGGAAAGAAAGCCTACCGTCAAGTACAAGGTCCACCAAAAGAGCCATGAGTCCTTCTTGTTGAGCCGATCCAATTCCTTGTAATAAAAGGAACGAGCAGACACAAATTAGACGAGATCATAAGCGTGAATCTCGAAGAAGCATATGCAATGTCTGTGCATACATAATTATCAAGTGCCCGCCTGTCCCGAACAACAAAATCTTTGAAAATCTTTAAATTATCTTCAGGAAACTTATCGAGATACTTTCAATCATCTTCAAGAATACTGATCGAATAAAGCGAAATCAAGAGAATACAGCAGATCATTCTTGTTGCAATTTCGGTAGTTTGGCCCTAACTCAAGGAAAGCGGAAACCATAAATTGAAAAAAACCTGTTGCTCAAGGGACTCAAAGCGCCATACGCTTTCCCCATCTTCGTTGATTTCGTTCCACCATCTAAGGCCCACCAATATTCTTCCACTGACATTCTTTACCGTCCAGAAATCCAATGCTACCAAAAAGACGGTGATAACAAAGACGATAACAAAATTGTCTATGAAGGAAGCGACCACAATGTAGAATACCAATGCCGCAACCTGTCCGAGATCCACAGCACACTTGGTCAGTAGGCAACTTCAGAAGGCAAGAGTAAATCCCGGAAACTTCAGTCTAACGAGCGAAGTTGTGAGACTCTGAAATCGAAATCCACACACCTTAAAGAGAACGCTGAAAAAGGCAGTCAAGGGATTCGCATAATTCTCCTCTTCCGCCTGAGCAGTCCAGATAACCAAGAATCAAAATCAGCTCATGAGTCCACACAACCGCTCTTTCCACACAAGAAGTGCTGGGTCTCCAGAGAAGCGCATCCAAAGATATATTATTTACTAAAACTGCAGTTCCCAATTCCTCCTCTAGCGCGCAACGTGGCGCCCTGAGTCCACTTTCGTCAAGGCTCCAAAGCTCCAAGGCTCCAAGGCTCCAAGGACCCAAGATCCTCAAATTATAGACGGATCGACGGTCTCACATTGAAGCCACATAAATTCTGCACCACCTAGTAGTGGAGCGATGGAGAAATCACGCAGGGCTCAACCATCCAAGCAACAGATCTAGCTTTTCCGTAATCAAATGCAGCCTACTGAAGGCTCACTCCCGGATGTCGACCCTAATTTCCCGCATCTACAACCAATAGCCCCACTGAGATGAACACTCATTTCCACCACCTAAAACGCTCAGCCACCCATCTCCAACCAGCATCAGGACGACCTCAAACAAGTAACTAAACCCTCCACCGAACCCAAAATTGAGAACAGGAAAATTCATCCCCGGATCTACTCCAAGAGGGCAACGACACAAACTCTCGATCTCACCGAGTCCGCCCGACCATCCCGGATCCGACTCCACGATGGAACCCAAAAGACCGAAAACCTAATCACCGAAAGTAAAATTGAATTCACAAGACTGGGGGCACGACCGCCGATCGACAGCGCGAGGCAGAGAGAGAGAAGGGAAACGCACCATTTTCAGCGAGATCTGAGCTCAGAACGAAAGGTTCGATCAGGAGAAAGGCTCGACGAGGAAGAATCGCTGACGCGAGCGCAGGGGCGGACGAGCGAGAGGAGGGATCGCAGATTGCTACGTGACGGAGGAGCTCATTCTCCTCAGAGCCCCGGCGGAAGCGATGCACGACGACGACGATGGGCGAAGTAGACGACGACGACGACAGTGAGAGAGCGAGAGAGCGAGCGCGGGCGCGAATGATTTGCGCTCCACGGATCGAACCATCGGACCTCTAAACGCCTAAAGCATTTCTATTTAGCGGCGCCTCTAATTTAGTCACCTCTTTCTTTAGCGGCGCGTATCCGATGGCGGGGTCACCGTTCGGCCTTCGCTTTCCGCGTCGGGTTTATGTGAAACGCGAGCGGAATTTCCAGCAATTTGGTGCCAATTTGGTGCGCATTTCATGCGCTTGATAGGACTGGACTCGTGACGGCTTTTTTAGCCATTAATTTGAGAGAACATTATTCTTGTAATGTGGGTCGAATTCTTGGGAATTACAGAGCGTCAGTGATTTTCTTCACGAAAAGTATCACATCAGTTTAATAATGCATTTCAACAAATCGGTGGATGATTTTTCCAGTTTAATAATGGAAAATATGAGTCATGGCCAGGCCTCTGTATATAAGGAACCTTCCTTATGTTACTATAAAATAAGGATTTTCATCACCGTAAAATACGCAATATGCGGAGTTTAATAGAAATCTTTTATATTTTCTTCAATAACTTCCTACTTTGACGTCAGTGTAAAACTACTTCAAGGATATCGGTGTTATTTTTTTATCTAATAATATATTTGTCTCATTTCAGCATTGAAAATTTCCTTTTGACAGTGTCAGTGTTTGAAAATGATGAATCTCATACTCCAAAGAACTCGATAAATTGAGTAATCTTGTACTTAGTGCCTGAAATACTCCAAGCCTCATTTTTGTTCAACCAAAAACTGCTTGCGTTGTTCCATTATTTGATCAATGTCATTTTGTTTAAAAAAACTACCAAACGATCTTGATAATGTAAGACTATTTGAACAACATACTGTATTTTAACGCTCTAAGTTCTTCAGGTAACCAAGGAGGCAGAATATTGAAACTTGCCTGGTTGACCTCATCATGTGTGGCTTTGATAGATTCTGCATACATGGACTTCCACTCTGGTGAGAGCTTTTGATATTACACCATCTAACTTAGTGGTTGATGAGAAGATGTTGTTATGGATTATGAAAAGAGTACACTCAAGTGTCCAAGATGTTGACGATTTTTTAGCGGATCATTCACGTCCAAAATAACAAACAACAACAACGATTTGGAAGTATAGGATACCATACTATAAGAGATGTTTGGGCTGAAATGGCGTTTTCTTGATTCAGCTTTGCACCGAATTCAGTGTAATCTATCCAAGTTAAGGAATGCAACAAATGATTAAAATTGTAGTTAAATAATATTTCAGACGCCGTTTGAGCCGAAACACCTGTTTAAGAGCATTAAATTGCATGATGGACGTAGAAAGTGATACTTTATCACCTTCTAGGTTTAGTTTAGTTCAAAAAATATTATGTATATATCTTGAAAATACAAAACTTCATGGTGGCAAAATATGGAATATAAAAAATCTATGACACATATCACAAATCTGATCTCATCACAATCTATTTTATCGTATATTCCGTAATTTGCTACCATTAGGTTCTGTATTTCAAGTGATATATTTCAAATATTTCTTGAACTAAACTAAACCTATAATATATTTTTAGAAAGTTAATTGTGAGAAAGTTAGACTATGGTAGAAAGTTGCAAGTGTAATGACCAAGTATCTTTCATTCACCAAGTGATTTCTTCTCACTGTTAAAATGATTGAAATTATGTTTTGATATTGATTAGTATCTCTTGAAAATTATTATGATAGAAGCAATTATTATTGAAAAATTTAGAGTGAATTTTATAAAAACTTGTGAATTCTTGTAAACCAAAAAATATTTTCAAAAATGTTGGTAGGATGTTATCAATGGTATGAAGATTGAACAATATTCTGAATATCTATCAAATGAAGTTTTTTTGACAACGTAACAGTTTGAAATAAAATTAGTAAATAAATCAAGTAATAAAATTAATTCAAAAAATTTGTATTTGATTTGATATAAATTTACTTTCATTGGAAAGAAAAATCTTAAAATTTGAATTTGCACTAGCAAATCACTATTGAATTTTAGAATAGTGAGGTGAGCTTGATAAATTTTCAAAATTTGCCAAAAAATTTATTTAAAGAGTATTTAAAGTCCAAAATTTGATCTTTTGGTGATTTTTGATTGTTTTTTTAATAAAAAGAAAAATTGCACTAATTGTTATGAGTTTTAATAAGATAGCTATAAAATCGTTTTATTTTGAAAATCACAATTCTTGAAAATAATTTTAGATGATAATTTTTTTTAACATTTGAAATTTAATATTAGTTCAAGCACAAATGTAAAAATCATGATAAGATGTGGTACATAAATATTCTTGTCTGATATTATTGATGGTTGTATAATTGAGGTATCCACAATCTAACATTTTTAATTTAAAATAAAATGCATTGCCAATTATTAGGATAGTTTTTAGTAACATCAGGAGTTTGAATACAAATGTATGGCTAAAATCTTAATCTTGAAGTTTAAAAAAATTTCATGAAAAATATCAACAATTTTAAATAGCTGAATGAAAAGTTGTGAAGGATGAATAAATTAAACACTAATTCAAAAAATCTTCAAAATAATTTTAAAATGAAACAAATTGTACAAAATGTAATATTGTTTATGATTAATCGGGGCAAAATCTCTACACAAGACGTAGAAGAGCTGGTAGCAAAAAATTGAGCTGAGAAAGAAGTAACAAATAGACAATTTGTGTTTCTTAATTTTGATGTATACAAGCATGAATTGATTCATCCCTCCAGATATGAAGATTTTTCAAATTGAATGTGATTGTAATGATATTGCTTTGACGGAGCAATAAATTGATACGTTCTCGTCTACACAAACAGTCCTTACGATGGATCAACAACGCAAATCTATCAGACGTGTTTGAGATGATGCATATACTGGACCGAACTACATCAAGATGAAGAGATGAAGCTTAAACCACCGAGATTAAGGGTCCTATGCACAAGATGGTGAAAAAATACACTTCACCGAATAAAAAAAAAAAAGCATTGACCACCAAACTCATCCGAAACTACTCTTGTACAAGCAAAAAATGTTTTGAGAAGAAGATGGGAGTCAACCATGAATCAAGCACAGTAGGATTTATATGCAGCTTCATCGATCCAACGAGACTATTGCCGTCGCTCTCCTCTTGGAACTAGATGAGCTTGCACCTTTGTATCTTCTAAGTTGGCTACTCTTGCGATAAGAATATATGACGATACTATGTGCCCTGCATCGAGTACCGTAAGGTTGGAATGACAAAATTAAAGACAAAAGAGTTTCAACAAATGAAGAAAGCTAGTGTTCACTTGGAAAAGATAGTAGTTGATGCCGAACTTGGTTTGCGTAAGGCGGAAATGAAAGCTTTTGAGACCAATAAGGACCCATAGTTTGTATTCAAAGATAAAAGTTACACTGTCTTTTCATCATTCTTACTCAAGTTTTTGTAGCTCGGGAAGAAGGAATGAAGTAACAAAGTTTGTATGAAATATGATGTGGATGAAGAAGATTAAGTTGCCACCTCTATATATATTTATCAACAGAGTAGAAATCTGTCATTGGAATGCTTGGAAATGCTTTACGGATTGAGGTGAATGGATCACAAACCACAAGAACAAAGAAAAAGATTTGGGACCCAGAAAAAATTGAGAGGATGGGGAAGAGAGTGATCAAAAGAAAGTATAATCATTCAAGAGATCAAAGATTAGGAGTAAGATTTACTTTGAATGGCATGTTAGGAAATAGAAAGTATAATGTAGGAGCTAATTCACACAGCTTGTTAGTAAATTTCATAAACCTATCTATAAATGTGGATGTGCAAGAAGTGCTTTACAATACAAGGTAATACAAGCGTTGTCAGGTTCGGCAAAACATTCTTTGAACTCCGAACTAAGACTCTTGAATTATCTCCGGCTAAAGATATATGTAGAATCAAATGACACATACATTGTGACATACACACATTAGAACATGTGGTTGGATAGAGGAGGGAAGATGCTTAGAACCATGATGAAAACAATATACTTAGAATCAAGAGGTGGATTACGGAGCCTTTTATAAACAACTAGTGACATCTACTTCGAATTGGTTTGGATTCAATCCCACCGATTGATATATTCTCCCTAAAGCAGTCCAGTACTTTGGAGAGAAGAAGTTGAGGACATTGGTACGGGGTTGTAATTTCACCTTTTTTTTTCTTTTTTTGTTGAGAAAAATGATGTGTTTCCATTGCAAAATGGATCTACACAGTTGCAAAATCTGGCTTGCTTGTACAGGCCGGCGAGTAGCACTTTTTGTAATTTTACACCTTATAGTACTTGAAACTACGAATCTATCTTCTGATCATCTAATGGTACTCGTATTTCTATGACGCGGTTAAGTCCCATTACTGGAATCTTTTGCGCTCGGGTGATCGATGTTGCCACTTGATTTTACCATTAGCTCTCACACAAAACACCTGTATAGCCCCCCATACTCTTGCGAATGAGAGGACCTGCCGTGGTTGTCGAACTTCTCCCCCACGCTCTTGAGCTCGGTCTCAGAGGTGGTGGTTGATGAGCTCGTTGCCAAGACATTCTTGCAATGTTGAGAATGCTATCCCACATGATGTTGTCCAGATGGATCTGAGTCCATCGACATAGAGTCCATAGACATTTTTTTGGGTCCAAACATACCAAATTACTACACCTCTCATCAGAGCCCATAGATCGGCCACATGCCAGAGATGATTCGGTAGGGGCTACCCGAGCAGGCATTGAGCCCAATCCAGTCTGGCCCAGGGAAGTAGTCTTGTAGATATCCATGCGACATGGTACAACACGAAAAAATCAAAGTTCCACGCAGATGAGGGAGCTTTACCCTCATAGAAGCAATGTTTGAGCAATTCTGGAACACCTGCAAAGCAACATACACATTGAGCCGATGTTGGATTATGGCTCTGATGACGCCATTTGTTTACAGCGATGGCTTTGTGAAGCAGGCTCCACATAAATCCTACTTCCTTGCGTGAGCGGTCTTTTCTCCAGATCTCTTCCCAGTTAGGGACAAACCTTTGGTGCACATGACCCGACCACTTCATTGCAATCGGCAAGCTCAAGGACAACATTGAGTTCCGCCATTCTCATTCTTTTTTGGCGGTGTAGCTGAAGAAACCTTCTCCCGAATGCCATTCCCATCTTCTAGGATCTAAGTTGAGTCTGTAAATTGGTGCAAGATACCTAAGGATGAGGACAGTCTTGATGTGCTGCCTTCGGGAAAGCGCAATGACTCAAACTCTACGCACTAATCCATGTAGTGGTCCGTCCTTGGAACCGTGCTCATGCTGAGCAATAAGGACTTGGAAATGCATGCCCACCTGAATTACTCGGATAGAGGCTGGGATGAGAATATCAATTGCTGATGGTGACAGGAACAGTCAAAAGTCATATGTAGCTTGGAAGATAGCGTCTGGGCATAGCTCGATGCCATCTGGGGAAATTCCCACCCACTCCCCCTTCTTTGACTGCTGTGCATTGATCATGAGCAGCTGGTGCCACGATCCAGGGATACAATTATGTTAGAGCTCGATATTCCTCTGTTCATCATCTTGCAAAATGAATTTTTGTTGGAGCAATTCCCATGACTTGGGAGTCTAGGTGTTTGATTGCCACATGCACTCAAAAACTGGAGGCCGGCTACTGCTAATTGTCACACACGCTCCTCAGTGAATCCAAAAGACGCTCCAAGAAAATGTGTCGTCCACCAGAGGTTGGTGTTACTAACCTCTTCAAAGTTCCGCGCGAAAATTGCATCCACCTGCGGGCTCATGAAACTCCATGCTTGCACAAGGCGGTTTCACACTCTCGAGCCAATAGCTGCAGAAAACTTGGCCAATAGCGCCGAACGAAGGCTCGGTGGCCAGGCTCGACTTTTTTTTTGTTTTTTTTACAACATTCGGCGGCGGAGACTGGGATGGGTGAAGACGCAAATTGTTCCACGACCCAATAATGGAATGGACACGCATTACTTATCTAACACAGTACTCGAGTTCATCAGAAAAGGGTCGACCAAGGGTTTTATGTATAGAGACACAGTGAATCCATTCGCTCATGCGAACGGCTTGTACGAGGTTCATTTTGAAATCACGCCGGGATGCTGATGCGCGGAGCAGCTTTTCTCACCCTTGACTTTGAGAATCAACTCACGGTCGCTCAAGAGATCTCCATTCTGACAGAGCGCGTTGACATAGGTAGGATTTTGGAAGACGATGCCATCGACACCAACAAGACGTTCTGGAGTCTCTCCACTGGATAGCAACATCAGAGCAATCATCTTTCACCAGAGGATGGGCCAAAAGCATGTGTACATTCATACATGGAAGCATGACCACAACTCAAATTTTGATGTATAAGCTTCACCGTGTTGGCGCAGGCTCAATCATGTACTAGAAATGGGTACGAGGTTTCAACTCTTGAATCGCTCGGGATGTCATTTGGCCAATGTGGACATCATCCAAACTATCATTAACATATCACAAGATGGCAAGAAAAATTGCGGAACAAGTTGGAGATGTGCTAGCTGAAAGCCAAGAAGGTGGTTTCGACGATTCACCGCGATTTTGTGTAGGCGTCGACATTGACAAGGGCTGGGTGACCAGCGTTGTGGGATACAATGCTGTAGAAGGTAGCGCGGCTATACTAGTCCATTATGATGAGCTAGAACTTCAGTGCCAAAGGTGTGTAGATCACCAACATAACACCTCCAGATGTCCCCAGTTGAACAGCAGGCCGAGCCCGTCACGACCAGTACAGAACCGGCACACTCCCATAGATTTGGGACGAAATAAAATTTGTCTTGAACCACGGGTGTCACTAATCCCACCACCATCCGTTGCATGACAGATAGAGGCACACATGGATGAACCACCAGTTTCACCGCGGCCGTTTTGACGTCGATGGCGTCCTAGGCGCAATCGAAGGCCCCGACCTACATCGAATGAAGATGGGTACACATTCGTATCTGCTCGCCATCCACGGCAAAATTCCATGGAAGAGTATCAGGTAATGGCACTCGCGACTCACCACGCGCTTTGAGATCAGCCCCAATCACAACGGTAACATCTATAACAACTACGACGCCTAAGACACGACCAGCGAGTTCTGGTCCTAGCGCAACTGTAGGTCCTACACCGCCCACCACAACAATTGCTAGCCTGACGCCAAGAGCAAAATCGTATATTCCAATACCATTGAGCCCAGATCCCGTCACACCAGTTCGGCAGAAGACGCGTCGAGTTGGATGGAATGTTCAATTCCAAGCTCAATCATGACCATCACGATGGAACGTGCAATACGTACCGAGTCCTCCATCAAATCAACCGTTAGAATTTGCCACTACAGCGACATACCTCATATCCAACATTCACAACATGAATGCAAATGGCATACCAGGGTCTACAGGATCACTAGCGTCGATGATAGCAGTTACGAAGATGGATGAAGCGTTTGTTGCATCTTATAATCCTTATGATCCATTGAATGATACTGACCGGAGTAGCAATCACTACTCTAACGGCAAATCAAGACTCATCCTAGAACGGGAGTGGAATGGATGGAAAAAAGTTTACAGAACAACAAAGACTTACCGGCCTAATAGGCAAAAGATTTTTGTACCTCCTTTGACTCGTTAGTTGGCATGGAAGTTGATAGAGCAGTCCTAGCCGCTTCCCCTACCAAGACCTTGCACATCATCGCCATCCTCGTTGGATGTGGTCGCCATTGAACATGCCACACAATTCATCATCCTAAGGTTAGACACAGACTTCCCAGGATCAAGTCCGGCAAGTTTGGTACGTTCTAGGGCAGCTACAGATGCATCACCGACAAGATCAATTGAATCATCAGCCTCCCTAGTTCGAGAGACTCCGATACTTCGAGTCTCGGAGCATACACCTCTTGCAGATCTAGCATTGCCACCATCAACCACAGGCTGTCCGGATTCACCGAGTGCCCCAAATCCGAGCCTACGACAATAGCAATTCTTCGGAAGATTGCGTTCTTTCTCTCTCTGAATCCCGAAACGAGCTCTAATCGAGAGGAAGTGAGCACGACTCAGGCAACCACGGTGAACACTGAGGTACAAGGAACGGAGTCCTCCTCCTTGACGGCACCCACTCGTACCAAAGAAGAGCCTAGAATCTCGCCTAGTTCGTCAATCAAGAGCCTTCGGGCCACCGCTCGCCGGCGCACCTCACCCCCAAGCAGGACAACGTCACCGTACGATGTATGGGGGTTTCAATTACCAAAGTCTTCCAGTTTTAGCTTTTTTCTTACCTCCTCATAACTTCATCTATGGCAGTGATGGCCTCAAGGCTTTGATCGGTGGCCTCCGGGCAAAAGATGTAATACCTTTCTGCCCGAAGAAAGTGAAGACATCGTCAATGTGTCTGCAAGTTCGTTGAGAAGAATTGGTGAAGTTTACCATCTATGGCAGTGATGGCCTCAAGGCTTTGATCGGTGGCCATCATACCTTCGAATGAGTTGACATTGTCAATGAAATGTGAATGAGAAACGTTACATGGTAAACCTTAAATGTGGCACTGGGTATCTTGGCAGTGCTTCGCCATTTCACTGGAATTAAAGTCAAGAAGTATATAACATTTGATTGATAATCTATTTTGCAAATCAAATGAATCTGAATCGTGCAGTTTTGATGTATCAAGTATTATGAAGTAACTTTTTAGATAATACTGAACCAGTCTTATCATGTAAAAAAAAACTTGTATAGACGTGAAACAAAAAATTGGTGAAGTGAAACCATGTCTCATTTACATGTAAAAAACTTTATATCGATTAGACGGAATAAATTCTGACACATTGGTAGATACATGGATATATGCAAAACGGGTGCAGATGCATTAATCTTGATTTCCACCGTGTTACATTTTTTTAACATAAAATATTACACATTTTATTCCCAATAGTTATGTTCAATACTTCAAGGTGTAACGCATTATTATTTTATATAATTTGATTTCGAACGCAGTTTTTTTGAATTATTTAATTTGTATAAACCATATCAAAACACTTTGGCGTTTGATTGATTTACGAATTCATATTCGAGTAATATCATGCAAGCAATCACAGGACTTTAGAATACTCATGGTAATCAATTCATACCATCAAACTAATACGGGCATCCGAACTAAGAATACCCCACTTAGGTCAAATATGTTTCAAGACCTATTTTAAATGAATATTATCGTTATTACCAGTTCCTATTATCTTCCACAAATAAAGCACAAGAAATAAAAAATGCTTCAAACAAACAGTTTATGATTCAAACAGTGATATTCAAGAGTTTATTCATTTTAATAAATGCCTCTAGAGCCAGCGAACGCGAATAGGAGAGCGGCTCAGCTGGTCATGAGACGAGGAAGTATCAATAATGGCGGAATGGGGGTCAACTTGGAGAAGGAGGATATGCGGGATCCAAAAGCCAAGTGCGAAGAGCAGAGTGGCGCGGTCCAGCGAAAGGGGAAAGAGGCCCCCTTCAGGACCGAGGGCTAATGACGCGTGGCCGGTCTCCTGGTGCTTCCTTGTTCATCCGCCCGCGAGCGAGCAAGCCCCGCGTTTGAGGGGCAGGCTTGGGGCTGGGCCGGGACCGAGCTCAGGGGTGGGGCTGGGCTTGGGGCTTTGGGCTTGGGGGTGGGATTGGGCTTTGGGGTGTGGGGCTGGGCTTGGGGCTCGGGGCTTTTGGCTCGGGGGTGGGGTTGGGCTTTGGGGTGTGGGGCTCGGGCCTTTGGGCTTGGGGGTGGGATTGAGCTTTGGGGTGTGGGGCTCGGGGCTTTTGGCTCGGGGGTGGGGCTGGGGGCTTGGGGGAGTGGAGCTGGGCTTGGGGCTCGGGGCTTTTGGCTCGGGGGTGGGGTTGGTCTTTGGGGTGTGGGGCTCGGGCCTTTGGGCTTGGGGGTGGGCTTGGGCTTGGGTTGGATAGAGGAGGAAGATGCCCAGAACTATGATGAAAACAGTATACTTAGAATCAAGAGGTCGATTGCGGAGCCTTTTATATAGGGTTAATGGTAATAGACGAAGCCCGGGGGACCAAAAGGGTCAAAAGGGTGACAAACACAATACAACCCAAAACCACAATCAAGTTCCTTCGAATTGGTTGGAATTCAATCCCACCGATTGATTTATTCTCCCGAAAGTAGTCCAGGACTTTGGAGAGAAGAAGTTGAAGGGCATTGGTACGGGGTTTTAGTTTCAGATTTTTGCTTATGGTAACGTTACCTCCTCATAACTTCATCTATGGCACTGATGGCCTCAAGGCTTTGATCGGTGGCCTCCGGGCAGAAGATGTAATTCCTTTCTGCCCGAAGAAAGTGAAGACATCGTCAATGGGTCTGCAAGTTCGTTGAAATGAATTGGTGACAGCCAGTCTCTGGTTAGAATGATGAGTGATTATGTGATTACGGTGAAACTGCATCCCCAAATCTCGAGGTTTTTGCAAGTGATTTCTCACACCAGTGCTGTGCACCAGAGTAACACACTTGGTGTGTAAGCAATCTACAGACGGTACATGAAGATCATTGCTGTTACACGGATGTTGCCCGATTGCATGTTAGTTAGCAGCCGAAGTTGTGAAGAAGAGAAGAGCTTGAGAATCTTTCTTGCATTGAACATGTCTTTCAACTAAGATACAACAGAAGATGGAAAAACAGGAAAAAAATCAGGATACTCCGTAACTAACATTGATCTCTTTCTGCCCCTCTCGAAAGCTGTCAGTTTTGACAGTCGACAAATTCCAATAAGCAAATAATTGGATGCATGACTTTGTTGGTCCCACAGCAAACAGTCTGTACAAGCATGGTGGAAGACAGTGTACAAGAAGGAGATTTCGCAAAGATCAATGCAATTAGAATTTACAAAGAGTGTACTCGAATTGTTCACAAGAACTTGGAAGCAGGTTTCGGAGGGAGGGCAAAGGATTTTAAGAAGGTAAGAGACACAAACAACCAGATCATAGCTGCGAAAAGACCGAGGGCTGCCAGCACAGAGAATCCTGCGACAAAGGCATCAGTGCCCCACAGAATGATATCCATCACTGATTGAATCAGCGTCATCGCGAGAAAATAGAAAGAATGTAAGTCGGTATCTGCTTCGAGCAACCAAACTCGCGGAGAATTGAAAATTTTGCAACCTTCAGCATCGATCGGTCACTTCACCTTCAAGCAGTTGCCGCGGCGACGTCAATTGTGCTACATCCGACATCCCGCATTTACAGAGGTAGCTCTAGCTTGACATGAGATTAGAATTTGAGGTTCCGCAACAGATTAATCGTCCTCTGCCCGTCGTGATGACTCCCCGAGCTTCTTGAAACACCTAGAAGCACACCGTGTCGCTGCAGATGTCATGCAAACATGATCAGTGGGGCTCGGTACGGAGGTCCTACGCATGAAGCTTTCATTCCAGTACAACAACGTATTGGCAAACGATGCGTTAATCAGTAAGCCAAACTCTTGTACACCCAGAAATCACGGAGAACTCGTACTTCGGTCAAATATCGCTGCACATTTCTGGTCAGCAATTGTCCTTCTCTACCTCCAAATCGAACAAATTTTGACTCCCTCAGCAGATGGAGGGTACACCAAAATCTCGAGGTTCGCTAGAAATCTTGAACTCTTCAAGCTACGGAGTGAACGGTGAAGAAGTAGTTTCGAAACCACTCAGAAATGCCGAGCTTGAATCGCGGATTCAACGGTGACAGAGTAACGGAACCTTGAAACCGAGTTCTCCCACGACCAAGAAACTCCGCTCGGTCCTTACCTTCTTACGAGGAACATTCCAGAAGAGTCCAACGTGAATTTGAATGCCATGGATGCGCAGCTACGATTTTGAACAATGTGCCACCAAATTCTGAAACGTTGAGCTGGCCGACGGCGCCATGTCTCGAGGCTCTTCGGGCTTCCTCAGTGCGAGGATTTATTGGTTTAGGGCTGTGAAATCTGACAATTGCGTTCAGAGGTTTCACTGCCAGCAGTGGGACGGTCGGCTGCTGCACAGACAGTTTCTCTTGTCCCGAACAGTGGCCTCGATGGGACATTTCATGATCGATGGAGGAAGTGCTGTCCTGGTTTAAGGGAAGGAGGTCTCCAACAGGGGATTCGGTCAGAGATTTGGAGATTCTGATTCAGAGATGTGTGCTTTCATGCTTCCGGGGATTGGTTCTGGCGTTCAGCTCTGCCTACACCGTCTGCATGAGTATCAGCCTGCATGCTTGTTGGTCGGTGGTCGTGTTCAAAGCTTCTTTTCTTAACTTACCATATGCGGCGCGGTTCGATCGTGGTACGGCAGTATCACTGTTGAAGTCTTCCATTTTAGATCTACAATCTTGGCCTTTAGAAGCTTTTGCTCGATTTCCTCTGTACCTGGAAGAACAGCGACTTTCAGCTTTTGAGTTTGCCGATTTGTCATGTCTTGATGTTTCATGCAGTGGCAACACGACTTTTATCGATTGTGGGGTGATGTTGTTCAATCTATATTGAATGCTTGCAGTAATTAAGAGAATTTTCGAGAGAATTCTTGGCGGTTTACACCACGATTTGCCACTCATCTTTGTCTGTTTCACATATTCGTTTACTTGTGATTTGTGAAAATTTGAAGCTATTCAATGTAAACCAATCTGAATTTCTTCCAGATCTATTCACATTCAAGAGCATCAAAAGATCTTAATCTTCTGTCGTTAGTCGGGTTTACTAGACACAATTTTCAATTAAAATATTGCATATCCCAGAACCGTGATGATGTGTGTCTTGAGTGTCTCACACTTCATCACGGTTCTGGAAAATATTCCTGCCGATAATTTCCACTTTACTGATATCCATCTGTTATGCTTCATGTACTGAAATGGCTACAATCCTCGTCGACATTTGTGTCCTCGAAACAAAATCTGCGTCCAGACTCTGCTTTGAGCAGAGTCTTGACGCGGGGGAGCAGTGTCAATGTGCCACAGACCACTCCAGTTCCTTGCATCACTTTTCTTTTGTGAAACATGTCTGAAGCTATGAACTGAGACTAGTCTGTAACACGTATGACACAGTCAGAGACATTCATGAAAAGGAAAATCGCGAGCTTTATGCAACCCAGAACTTGAACAATCTTCCGGTAATCTTCTGCTCACGTTTTGATTTTATTAAGCGCTACTCCTTACAAAAAAACTCGCCACCCAATCACAGGCTAGCAAGAAGAGCGAGTGCTTATGCTGGGTATTTACAGCTTTGTTGCACCAGGCCTTTCTCGACCCATGATTTACCTCGTAGGGACATGGTACAACATGTGAAAGAATCATAATACTTCAAATCTCCGATTTGACCCGATCACCGCCAAAATGGATACCTACAATCGGCAGGACTGCACGCATGTCGACCGTGCACGTCAAGCGGACTTGGGCCCTTTCACATACCTGGGTGTCGGTCCAGCGTAATCCAGAAGCCAGGTTTCATGAATGTGTAACCACGCCACGCCATTTGGTGTACCATCCTGCAGGAGAGAGGGGGGATTAGCATCTCCAGAACAGATTATGCATAGTCAGTGTTCGCATCATGGACAGACTCTAGCACTTGCTACGAGCCACTTAACAGTGAATCTCTTCAGGTTACACGACTCATCTTTGCAACCAATTTATGAGTTGCTAGTTTCGATTACTACGGTAGCGGCAATTAGACTCTTCTGCTCAGAGCAAATCTCTTTCCAGCTTCACAGTCCGAGGTGGTTTTTCTCGTGCATTTTCTAACTCAAATACGATACCTTCTTCTTCAAAAGACCAGAGGTCAAGCGGCAGCTCAGCTCCTTATCTGCGATTGGATACACAGAAACACCGTCAGCACTGCCCTCCAGCTATCGTTTGCTACAGATGCAAATAATGAGACTCCCAGAACTGCATCATTAATTGAGGCCGTAGGAAAAGATTTCCACTCAAGGAGCTTTCATAGCAGACCGGCTTCCTCATAGATAGACAGTAGAAATGACCAAGGAGTAGGAGAGTTCTCCTTCTGTAAGTGCGTGGGTATCATCGAGGAACCAAAAGGTTACAATTTGCTCATTAGCTTCAGTTGCGGACTCTCGATGTCCGGCACCTGGAAGACCATTTTTCCATAGCTTCATCACAAGGATGGTAGGTAGTAGAGGGATTATTTCCCACGTACCTGATTTTAACCACTTGTCGAACTGTACAGCCCATACTTCCTCTGAGATCTGATTTATACGGATTCGGTCGATCCAGATTCGGAAGTTTTTGCCCTTCAGACTACCATACAGAGGTCTGGCCATTTCGATGGCTACCAAGGGCTTAACTTGCACCCCCCAAGGGTTGACCAATACACACTCCGGAAGCTGCACACAAGAAGACCAAAATGATGAATTTTCCTACATCGGCTGCAGGCGTTGAAACCTACTGACTGCAAGACTGAAATGAGGTTTTCGGATAAATCCTCAGGGACGAGAGATAAAGTTCATGGAAAACACACCAGAGTGGCTTTCAGGCGCTGGAAGACTTCATCAGAGTTTTCCACCGCTCCCTTGAACCATCTCTCAAAGAGGAGTTGGAACTCTACAATCTCATGGGCCACTGCGATTGCACCTTCCGGTGTTGCTTCTTTGATCAAAGGTGTCGGCAAATCTCGAGGTGAAATATTGGGCGTGAAGTTGAAGTGCTGCATGGCCTGTATGATACCAGCTGCACATCTCTCTGTTGCAAGGAAAACGTTTGATCTCGACTTGGCATTTTGCTCGTGCCATTGCAGCAACTCCTCTTGTGCGTTTCCAACCTACAAAATGGTCGCCTGTATGTCAGCACTGCGAAGAATAATGGAAGAGAAGCATTCCAGACACTGGGAAGCATCAACCAAAAAATGAAATCACTGCACTCAACGGCAAAATTTATGGAAGTGAACGCCAACAATAAAACTCTGATGACATCTCGTGAGCATCTTAGTGAGAGTAGACGGGAAGAGGTGATGCGAAAAAGTGGAAGAAGTGGGGCTTACAATGACTCCATGTACGTCTGCAACCTCAAAAAGTTCGGCATCGTTGCCGGAATCTCCGCAAACGAGAGTGTTTTTGGGAGTGGTTCCTTTGATTTTGAACTGCTTCAGCAGGTAGGCAAGAGCTTGACCCTTTCCTGCGCCCTCAGGGAGGACGTCCAGATCGATTCCTCCGCTGTAGATGAATTTGAATTTCAGCTGCAATCGTTCCAAATTGCGGACAATGGTGAGATTCTGCTCTGACAAGAATGGACGAACCTCGCATACGGATCTCCCATATGGCTCAGGCTAATGTTTCTGCGCATGACAGACCTACGCCTTCGCGAAAGTACTGCCACGCCTGATGCAAGCGCTGCTTGATTTGCATCCTAGCCCATGTATGTATACACTGAACTCAAGCCAGAGAACCCCGAGGCCCATTCCTGGGAATGAATGAATGAAAGAATCTACGGACAACACCAGCAAATAAATCAATGTCCGACATGAGCCCTTCCTATCTGTATCATTTCTGTTATCTTAGCGCTTTTAATGTGGAGCCGAAACAGAGATTTCGCCCGCGGGTGACATAAGAAGAGCTCATTACAGGGTTTGAAACCAAGTCGGGGGCCAACGCGAACCCAGGGCATATCCTTTCACAAGAAGGCATCCCTTACCTTGTGAGCTGTGTAAGCTTCTGTCAGCTTCTTAATGACTTCAGGCGCATCTTCTTTCGTAACATGGAAGCTGACTTTGTGGGGCCTTTGCTCGGACTCGCACTGCATGAACACATCCATATCCACGTATTTGAGCAGAGCTGAGTAGAGGATCTTCCTTCAGAATTGACGACGTTTCACAGAGCGATGGAACAAGTGATGAAGGAGTGCATTGCGATCATGTGATCCAGTAACATTCTTAAATTCACAAGAGTTTAGAAATTTTCTGACTCGTGACTCAAATTCCTGCTTTCTCGATAATTGCGAAGAGAGTATCTTGCACAGCACGATCCCACCTGGAGACCGGTAGCGATGGAATGGAAAGGAGGCAATTCAACATCTTTCCGGGGAGGTTAGGTGGGTAGACTCCAATTGTCACCTGGAACTTCAGATTCAGCTTCTCTGCCTCCTCCACGATGATGGAACGATTCCAGCCGACGTCAAGTTCTTTCACCCAGCCCTTGTCCTCCTCCATCGTGTCTCCGTACCTGATTTCTGTCCCCACGGACATGATGGCGATACCGGGGGTGAGAAGAGGCACTTCCGACCTCAATTCATTGTACAGAACCTGGGACCTTCCCGTCGAGAAGACGAGCAGAGAATTCATGCGGTAATAAGCTTCCCACAAGGCGTCGAATCTGAGCAGTGAGGTGTAGTCGGGGTCCTTGTGATCCACCTGCAGCCATCAATTTCGCCACACCCATCGGACATTAGTACAAAGCTCCCATCCAGCTCCCTTCGCTCCCCTCCACCGGTACACCGTTCACTCATTCTTTCATTCATTCATTCAGCACGTGCTGCACATTTTACGACCGTCGCTCCGACAGTCTACATCTCATCGTAGGGTTCGTTCGAACCAATCTCACTGGACTTCGAAAACATGCTGGCAGAAGGCATCGTGAGGAGCGAGTCCAGCATGAGCACACACCATGGTGTTATCCAGGTCGGAGACGATCATGAACTCGGGGATCCAATCGACCTCCATTGCTGCAGCCGGTGCCGGCACTGCTTCTCACTCCCTCACCTCCTCGTCCTGCTCCTCCTCGACTGTCTGAGAAAGAGAGAAAGAGAGAGAGAGAGAATCGATCAGCGTTCGGGAGGCTGGTCAGTGATCGGGTCGACTCGTTCGTTTTATGTGACAAGACGCGAGTCTCTTCTCTTCAAACAAACCGCGGAATCCCCAAAGATGCCAACAATTGTTCTCGACCCTCTCACCATTCACCACCCAACCACCCACCCCCGAGCAACAAGATGACAACGCCAAAAATCCCAAAAGGAAACTCGATCGATCTCGAAATTCAAGACAGCCACAGACATCGCACTCCAGACTCCTTTGTCCTTTCCGCTGCCCCCCCCACTGCCCCGACTCATTCACTAGACCGATCCCTCCCTCCATCCCCAAAAGGTAGAGAGAGAGGGAGAGGGAGAGAGAGAGAGAGAGAAGGGAGGGACAAGAGCACGGGGGGTAGAGCAACACGTTGGGGGCCAAGGCAGGGGTGCTCCCAGCTCCGGAGCAGGGGAGGGGAGGGGAGGGGAGGGGGTACCAGCGAGCGGCTCCGAGTCTCGCACTGAACCCCGACGCCTTCGGTCCTTGCGCACACCAGCACCATCACCCCCCGCGGTGACAATGATGGAGCGTAAAAGGCTCACCTCGGGCACCGCAGACTGGAATGAGCGAGAGGCCGATGAGCTGCAGGAGGAGCGGGAGGAGGAGGAGCAGCAGCAGCAGGAGGAGGAGGCGATTCGGCGCAGCGAGGAGATTTATTCCGGCTTTGCCGTGGCTGCGATGTCAGTGCAGAAGGAAAATTGCGGAGAAAGTTTGCCATTCTCCGTGTCCCAGCTTTTAGCTTCTTCTGAGAGACAGACAGATGTTGCAGAAGAAGTCGAGCCGGTGGAATAAAACGAAGGCAGAGAGAGAGAGAGAGAGGGGTGCTCAATGAGGTAAAATGAACTCGGAAATAAATGTCAAATTTCTCCAACATTTCCCTCATCTTGCTACGAACCTCACCAATCAATCAACGAAAGTGTCATTTCTAGGATAAAATGAAAGCACAGAGAGAGAGAGAGGTGGCAAATGAGTTAAAATGAACCCAGAAAAAAGTCAAATTCTGCAACAGTTTCTCAATTCCTCATCTTGCTACGAACGTAGCCAATCAATCAACGAAAGTGTCCTTTCAGAAAGGAATACTAATTTAAACTCTGGTAAGTTAGGATTATATGTTAAGATTCAAGTTAGAGAGACTCATTAAACCTCCTCTACGTTTCACTAAAGCCGATGTGGCAACCTTTCCAACCTCACGAGATATTTTCAAAAGTCGTCTGCTGTGTGTCTTGAGAACCTTTGTCACCCACCCTCACACTAACAACGCGAAGTATTGTTTTCAAGCCTTTCCGATTTCTACCTGAACACCGTCGAAAGCGAAATTTTCTCGAGCCTTGCCAAGTGGTCGAGTCCACAACACTTTCGAATCTTCGATCCCTTCCTCGTTCGTCTCTTAAAACTTTCCTCTGCAAATTTTTTCTCGTGTAGAACTGTTGAGATGTATAAGACCACTTTATATGCAAGTCTAGAGCTTCATATCTCGAGTAGAAATGCTCGTTTCCAGTGAGATCCGTAAAAAGCAAGCCAGCCGTCCTCGAGGAGGGAGGAGCAGCGCACGAGTAGGAGTCCCTCCTCACCATCAGTGCCCAAGTCGTAATCGTCTCCAAATAATTGACGGCGACTTGTTATCCATCACGTCAAGGGGGAGGAGCAAAGCAGCCAAAAACAGAATGCGTGCAGAGGTTTACGTACCAATTAAAAAAACTCATCAATTTAAACATAGCCGCGAACTCCAAGGGCCCCTAAATTCTTCAACCCCCGGCGGTAGTGCGAGAAGAAATTGTCAACAAGAGCTCTCGGGGATCCATCCAATATGAATGCCTGTGCATACATTCGCCTGATGGCGTCAGCGACAGAATCCACATACCAATTATAGGAAAATAGTATAATTCAATTTTAATGTAAGGGGAGAGCCCATCAAGCCATACATGGATTAAACCCAAGGAGTATCGCGATGCGATTTGGCCCCAATAATTTTAGTATACCCTTCGTTGCGTCCACGAGATGCGCTGTGGAATTGATGTAGAGGCATTACCCACTCTCGTTAGCGATACGATCTATTTGCTTGATGATGTGATCCCCGCCTAATCGACGCCCTTTCAGTGACGTCGTCAATGGTGAAGGAGCATCACTGGATTTTAAAATATTATATGAAATTAATGAATCCTTGCTAAGGAATTTATTGAACTCTCACAATGCATTCGGAGAGTCTACTCGATCAAAATGAAAGAGGTTCTTTTCTCCTTTTTCGTTTGTGTCCAGTGATGTATTGAATATATCACTGGCAGAAGATTAATGTTTAATAAATTCGGACTCCGATGTGAAATATGATTCACAATAATTTGCATCGATGGCAGGAATATTAATAGCACTGATGGAATTTCATCCTTTAGAGCAAGCTAGGGCTAGATTAGAGGAGGACGTCGATGTACTGTAATCAGGTTAGCCTCCGGGTAAAATGGCGGACGAGAAGGTGGAGGAAGAACACGTGTCGAGAGATTCGGTGTTCAGAGATGATGACGTGGCAGAACCTCGTTGGCAATCGTGCACGGCTCTGTCGAAGGGAAAGTGTGCGGTAAGATCTTCGCTCAGACTGCAATGCACGGGCTACGTGTCAGTCGCCCGGTCTACCTCTAGGGAGGGAGGACCGGGAAAGTGGAAAAACATGGTTAGTAAGTTCCCGGGAATAAGGTAAGTCCAGAAGGTGAAAGAGTCCAGTCACCTATTGTCTTTACGAACACGTGTCTCTAATGGACCCGTGTGTCAATTTCTGACTGCTCATAAGCCTTACAATGTCGGAACCCTTACCACGTACTTTTGCCGTAAAGTGCTTTCTCTGTAGGGACGTGGATGTTTACGGCCATTCCCCGCAGCGCTATGTCAGTACACCAGCATTCCGCCATCGAACTGAAGTTGAGCATTGATGGTGTCATGTAACGGGGAATTGTAAAGAGACGTCGAGGACTTGTCCAGGTCGAAAAGCTAGAAGAGGAATCCAGTTATATATATTTGTCGAGCAGTTATGGAGATACATGGATGGGAGGAGGTGGATTTTTTCATGCAAGCATCATGTCTCTACTTTTGCGTATATTAATTCAAACGTAGATGATGTGATACTTGCTAATGATGTACAGTCAAACCTCCCAATATTGTCACCTCTTACAAGTGACATCCTCTCATCACTGACGACATTCTGAGTCATCGGCCGCGCTCTTCGAGTGAGTGACATCCTCTCATTAGTGAACCATTGGTTTGTAATTTATAAATCTGCTCAATAAAATCAGTAGGTCACTATTGCCAACCGTGATAGTTTCAAGTATAATTTTCGGAGTCAAAATATCTATCATGATCAGCATACATAGCTACGAGAAAGAAGAATGTGACATACGTTAATTTAAAGGTTATCTCAATCTTCATCCGAATTCAAATGCAATCATAACGTCTATCTAATCTTCGTGAATTATCAAAAACCAAATAGCATATTTATAGAATGTACTAGATTAGATGCCATGTAAGATAAAAATTATATGCATTGTTTTTAATAAGTGACACCTATCAATAGTGACACCCAACTCTAAAGCCAATGTATGTTATTGTTGGGAGTTTATACTCAAGATTACGTAACTCCCAATAGTGACATCCAACCCTAACACCAATATATGTTACTATTGAGAAGTTATACTCAAGGTTGCGCATCTTATAATAATGAACTCCAACCCTAACACCAATGTTTGTTATTGTTGGGAGGTTATACTCAAGGTTGCGCAACTCCCAATAGTAACCTCCAATACCAACACCCATGTATGTTATCGGAGAGAAGTTATACTCAAGGTTACGCATCTCTCGGTAGTGACATCCAACCCTAACATCAATGTATGTTATTGTTGGGAGGTTAAACTCAAGTTTACACACCTTCCAATAGTGACATCCACTCCTAACACCCATGTATGTTATTGAAGAGAAATTATACTCAAGATTAGACATTTCGGTAGTGACATCTAACCCTAATACCAATGTATGTTATGGTTGGAAGGTTCAACTCAAGGTTACGCATCCCCCACTAATGGCATCCAACCCTAACACCAATATATGTTATTGTTGATAAGTTATACTCAAGGTTTTGCACGTTACTTCTGTGAGTGACACCTACCAATTGTGACTTATAATCCTTGCACCAATGAATGACACTACTGTGAGATTTAAATATGAAGATAATTTTGTTATTATTAACGTTTGACAGTGTAAAAAATTTTAAATTTTTTTGCAATTATGAAAATGTTTTAATTTTTATTTTCAAATTTAATTATCAAAATGATTCAATATATTTTACAAATATGTGCATTTTGATATTCATATGTATTCATATACTATAAACTGAAATAGTATTAGTACATTTTAATCAAATATTTATGATCATAATTAATGAAAGATGTGAGAATTGTAATATTCTAGCCAAGAAGTGATCATTTATATATGAAATACATATTCACAAGAAAATAAAGAATTTTTTAAAAAATATATTATATAAATAAATAAATGAAAACAAATTAAGAATAAATTGTTTTTATATTGATCATAAAAGAATATTTTTATCGAAATAATAAAAATATATAAAATTGATGGAAATTATTTGAAGTAAATTTCAAAATAGATGATAAATTTTAAAAAATCAAAATCAAGTTTAAAAAATTATTTAAAATTATGAATCTTATAATTCAAGAAATAAATTTGATTTTCTAAATATGATGAAAAATATATAAATTTTGTGTTTAAATTCAATAGTTTAGGTTATATCATCAAGTAAAATATGACTCTTTAATAGCTTATATTTCGAAGAAAATTTCTTGATAGAATCTTGCATAACACAAATAGTTTAGTGAAACCCATCAACTATCGTTTTATCATATTGACACCATGTACGTTACACCATTATCAAAATCTAAAAATAATCATTCTTGTAATTATATGTTACGTGCTATAGTGTGAGAAAATGACCGGAAGTTAGAACTTGATTGCAAGTTTTGTCAACACATTACTAATTGTGATAATACATGAAGAAGATGTGAAAAATCATTTGTTGAGTATCTTGTTATCATTTAATCACGTTATGCTTTACTCCTTGATGTGGCTACTGATGGAATAATGTAATATTTAGAAGAAACATATAGCAACAAAGAGCCACCTTGACTGACAAACATTTGATCAAAATTTGATTTGTTCATGACAACATGAGTAGAATGATTATAGATACAGAAACCTTCGTGTTGATGTAACTCAACGTTCACCAATCAAGAGTGTGATACGGACTTACGTTCTAATCAGACGTCATCTTTCCGGTGTTAATCACGTGCAAGTCAAATCATCATCGCACACTATGGCCTCACTACTCATCTTGTTCAGAAGTAACCGAGTCATCAAACGCCAAACTCACATTGTAACAACCTGAGTTTTGCAAGAAGATAATGTTCACTATGTTAATTTCAATTTGATATTGTTATATTTGATAATTTCAGTTTGTTTCTTCCATTTGATATTTTGCATAAATGTAAATCAGCAAATCTTCACCAATCAGCACATTGTTCTGGAGATTTTAAGACAAAATATATATATTTCAAATTCCAAGAAAAGAAAATTTTTCTACAATATAATGTAGATGAGACGGGTTTCAACTTAGATCCTATAGATTGATAGACAACGTAGAGTGTGGATGTTTAAATACACACAAATCTCTGCATTGTAGATTTGTGTGTATTTAATACAATACATAGATTTGTAAAGATTTTACATACTACAAATAAGTACCGCCGTTGTCGTACTTCATTCACAACTTGGAAAAACTAAATTCACATGTTGCTCACGAAACAAATAACACAAAATTTTACTTTATTTTTTAGATGAGCATGATCTAGCCAATTCCCTACAATAATATGTCACTTTAACTAAAAATTTGTAGCTGAGCCTTAGCAAACCAAAAGAGAATGAAGTCAACAATATATTGGAATGTTTTATCAACAATCACAAAAAATATGGACACAAAAAACTGAGGCCCAAGGATTGTACAGATAAGAGTAGAAATCTGATACGGGATTCAATTAGAAAATATATCACAACACATATCTTCACTTTTGAGCATATACACTCAAATTAGTGATATAGCTCACAAATACATAATAAGAAAGATATGTAAGAGTTGCTAAATTGAAGCCCAAGGCAAACAGAATGAAAATGTAAGTTGAATTCATTAGATATCAAAAATTGGTACATTATATTTTGTGATGGACAAATCACAAGTTACCTTCTTACATTAAAAGATCCGTGGTCTTCCCTTGTACTCTGCTAAGCTTTTGCTTGTTACTCCTTATGTATCGGCAGTCGATATTAGAATATAGGTGACGTGTGTCGTTGGTGGAATCACGTAAAACTATACGCGATGGATCCCCATAAGTTATTTGTGTAACGTAGTAACTATCAAGAAATTATCTCTATCTTTTGGATTGTAGATTTCACTCATTTTTTTCTAGATCATGGATTTCTTTTTGTGACAAAATCATTTTTAAAAAGTGAAAATGATAAAAACCATTTTGTTAGGTTCCATGGTATTTGATAACAAGACATAGTTATCATTGA